AGTATGCATGTTAGGCCGGTACTGCCAAGTCCTCAAAGGACTTCTATTGTGATGTGGTGATTGATGAAATTGTGATTGAGCCGCGCAAGTCTCTCGAACCAAGTGGGTGATGACAGAGACTATATTATGATATTGAGAAATTGTGATTTTGAATGCGCTGGCCGTTCCCTCGAACCAGGTGGGTGATGACGGGGAACCTGATATTGTGATTTGAGATACTGGCATGTGGCCAGATTGTGAAAAAGCGGGCGGCAGTATTGGGAGGGCCCTAGTGATATGTAGTGCACGTGCATAAAGTGTAAGATTGATTGGCATAAGTTACCTATGATGTTGTAATGTGTGAGTAGGGGTGGCAATTCGTGTTGACAGGCCGTGTTCGTGTCGTGATGAACCCATCAGTTGACACGAATAGGTCTGACACGAACACGACCCGTTTATTAATCATGTCAAAATACAAAACCCAAACACGACCTGTATATTGGCGGGTTGACACGACATGACACGAATAACCCGTTTATTAAACAGGTCGTAAACGTGTCGTGTCAACCCGTTAACTACCTGCCAACACGTTTATGAAATAAGTGATTAATAAGTCGTGTTAGCCTATTTTTGAACCTATTTCTGAACCTATTTCTAAACGTATTTATGAAATATGTGATAAATATGTCGTGTGGACCTATTTCTGTACCTGTTTATAAAACGAGTGATAAAACATGTTTATCAACCTGTTTAACATGATGTAGAGACATTACATAATCTAAGTTTAAAATTAAAACAAACACGTAAAAATCTCTCACAAATTAGAAAACAAATACATAAAAGTCTCACAAATTAGAAAACAAACATACATGATTAATAATTAAACATTTAAATAATTTGTTGCAGTGGGAAAACTCTAAGTACATCATTACGTTCAAGAGAAGTTGATCTCTGTAAGAAAGGCTCCTCATCTTTCAATGAAAAGTTGAAGATATCTTGTGTAAGATCCTCCACATCTTCATTGAAATCTACACGAAAACTTGGCAAAATATTCACTTGTGTCCTGAAAACTTGGCAGAGAGAGAGACCATCAATCAACATATTCATTAGCATCGCAACTTAGCAAAATCATCGCATGTTATACATTTCTTTTTCCACAATGTGCTTCATTTGGCAACATAAACTAAAGGAATGGTCGTGTACTTGTACTATCAACCATTTATATGAGGGAGAGACTCATATTAAGTTCAAGCGTTCCTCTTTTCCCTCCTTTGACTAATGGAAATTTTTGTTTCCAGCTTTTTTACCTGATCTACCTAATATATGGAATAGTCAGTCCAAAAAAAGGTTGTCATCAACTCAACCATGAAATTGTGCACCAGACGAGAATACATCATCCTTCCAAGACCCAGTGTTGGATATACATCTGAATGTTGTAGTATCAATTAAAAATATCTAAAGTAACGACAAGCTAAGACACCCGAAATACATACCAGCCTCTCCAATACTGTTCTGTTTCTTCCAATCGTGCTCTGTAAATGTAACTGCAGCACAAACTCAAAGCTATGAATGACCATGGACAGTATAAAATAGACAAACTCGCTTGATCCAAGAGTCAGGTAACTGAAAACCATTACAGATGCCAGGTCCTAGATAATTATAAAATAGTCGAAAGATGTTCCTTACCATTTCTTTGATTCATTATACTTTAATGTCGTATGGATTGATAGACGAGCGAAATCAATGTTTCTTAAAGTGCCTACAAAGGTTTAGTTTGAGTTAAAATGACACATGCATTACCATTGAACATAAGCAAGCATCCCCCCAACAAAAACACATACAAACACAATATATATATATATATATAGATAAATCCATGAGCACCAACGATAAACTCATAACAAAGGTTAGAGAACAAATAAAAAGCAATATTTACTCAGAAAAAGTAAACAGAGATTATAAAAATAAAATAAAAGAAGAAGATCTTCAAAACTTATTGCTGGGTCTAAGTCATTCAAAATTTTGAATGATAACAATTAATTGCAATAGATCATCTGGGAAGAAAGATCACGTACTTATTTCGTTCATGTCCAACAATAGACAAATCATCTTGACTTCAGACTTTACTTATTGACTTCATGTCCAGCAATAGATTATAGAACAAGACGGAATCCATTCCCCAAGTAAAGAATCTGCTCCCCAAGGCCGATTTTGACGAAGAATGAGAAGAATAAGGACCGAATCTGTTCCCCTACCTCCCCAAGGTCGAATCTGACGGAAAGAGTGGAGAGTCTAGAGAGAATGAGGCAGCGAGGAAAGAAGAAGAGGCGAGGGTGGGTGACGGCAAGGGTGGGTGGGTCTGGACTGAGAGAAGCAGTAGTCCTCCGGTGGACTAAGAGCTCAGGCGGTGGTCCTCCGGTGGACTAAGAGCTCAGGCGGCGGAGAGGAGAGTTGAGGAAGAGAGAGTGCGAAGGAGAGGAGAGTGGAGAGAGAGGTTAGACAGAGAGTGAGAGTCGAGAGTAAAGAGGAGAATAGGGTTTGGAGGAATGTTGGGCTTGGGCGGCTGGGAGATTAGAAACATATAAATACTGAAACATTTTTAACCTAGGTAATAAACAGGTAACAAACGGGTCATATAATCGTGTTATTTAAATATGACACGTTTAATAAACGGGTTATCGCGGGTCAATTACGGGTTGACGGGTCAACCTGAAAATGACACGTTATTTAATCGTGTTTCGCGGGTTCGACCTGATTTTGACCTGAACCTATTTATGATAAATCCAAACCTGCTAATTTTGTGCGGGTTTCGAGTCGTGTCGTCGTGTCGCTACCTAAATTGCCGGCTCTATGTGTGAGTATGTAAAAATAAGATTGTGTGATTGTAGCTCTACTTACTGAGCTTGTAGCTCATTAAAGTTTGCTCTGTGCTGTAGGTAAAGGTAAGAACAAAGCAGAACAGTAAGCAGAGGAGCTGGCTTCGTTGACCGCTGTACATATGATTGGACCAAAGAAGCTGTACACAGATTATTTTAGGTCTGTAAACATATATATTTTGGAGTTAAACTTATAAACCTTGGATGACTGTATAATTTTAATTGTGGCTAGGAAACTTGATAGGAATGGTGTATTAATGAAATTTTGTTTAAGCAAAAAAAAAAAAAAAATTGAAACACCATAGTTTTCACATAATGACAGGTGAAGGTTAGTGATTGTGGCATGTCCTTAGGATTGTTAGCAAGGAACTAAAACATTTGAAGGAGATGGTATATAAGGGGTGTCACAGCTATAGATTTCACTATCCATGAATAACGAATTTACGCATACACGAGTCATACCCCCAATGTACCGGTAAGTGTACCTTTACATAATGTGAGGATGTCTCCCTTTGGTATATCAAAAGATACAAGTTAAGCATACGGGTTCATTATCTATCTCAGGATTAAGATGACAACATATAATTCGTCAAACATGAATTATTTTATTCAAACGGAATTATGAATTAAAATAATTCAACTTTTGTCCGATCCAATATAGATTTCACCATTAAAAACTATATCAATGTCTCTACCCATAGAGTCCTACCTCCGACGACCAAGACAAGCCCCCTCCGTTAAGAAGTAGACAATACAATAATCTTAACATGAATAAAGCGTCCAACTTTATTTCCTCGATTGTGGATCATATGATTTAGACTATCATCTTTAGATTCCTGTCTTCCACATGTTCTTCTCAGTACACGCATGACCTAAAGATTTAGAATAACAGTTTCAGACTTTTAGTTTGCTTATCATACATTCAACTAATATGAACATAACGAGGACAATACGTAGATATATGAAATAAATAAATCTTTATTAATAGTCAAAATGTCGCAAATAACATCGTTACATTTATTCCTAAGGGCGTAAACGCTAACAGGGATACCCCCGGGGACACCCCAGGACACCCCCCGGGAAGAACCTCAGGATAATCTTGGGACCCTTGTTCATAGGATCATATTGCAAGTCAAACCTTTTCTTTTTCTTAGAAAAAATTATAAAATTTACTCTTAAAAGTATATGGGTCTAAATTTTTAGCATTTATTCTTGATTAATATCATTTTATTACTATAGTTATTATACTAAAAATATTATTAATAAAGAATAAAGGATCATTTTTAACGGGTATTTCTCATTTCCCCAACCTCCTATGGCCATGGCCCATGGGCCTCATGAAACCTTGAAATGCGGTTGGCAAGAAAGAAGCAAACCACTGGTCAATCTCCTGATTATTTTCTCCAGCCTAGTCTGAAGAGAGAAACAGTGAATTATTTATTTAGTATTTGTTTTTCATAGTACAAAAAAAAAAAAAAAAAAAAAAGAGAAAGAAAATGCGTGTTAATTCTTACAAAGCCGAGTTTTAACTCAAATCTCAGTGAAATGTCTGAAGTCTGCTAAAGTCTCCGTTGCCAGGTACGCAAAACCCTCAAGAAATCTCAAATCTGCCAAGTTTCTTTACCCATATCGGATTTTTAGTAAGCCTGAGTTTCCACTAGGTTTTTTTTTTTTTTTTTTTTTTTTTTTTACCCATATCGGATTTTTAGTAAGCCTGAGGTTTTTCCATGTTTTTTTTTTTTTTTTTTTTTTTTTTTTTTTTTTTTTTTCGCTCGTCTTTCCGAGAAAAAAAAGGGGGGAAAACAGCTGTTTTTCGCTTGTGGGTTTGCTTTCCGATACCATATTCTTCACTTTTCATCTGGGCTTTTGAGGTAAATTGCTCGATTGGTTGCGTAGTCTCTCTGATCTACTGTTTGGTTATTGAGAAAATTGAAGAAAATTGAAGAATTTTTGCTGTGATTTTTTTGTTGAACGTTTAAAATTGGAGAAGTTTTTACTTTAACTAAGCTCAAAAGCTGAAGGGTTTTCTTTTCTTTTATTTTTTTCTTTTTTCCCTTCTTTTTTGTTCGGAAACTTTGTTATTATTAGTTTGTTTTGTTCATTTCCTTGTTCCTGTTCATAGGGCACGGACAAGTTTTGTGCTTTGTTTAATTAATTGAATTAATTATCTGTTAATATATATATATATATATACTTTGAAAGTTTTGTTTTTCCATTTTCTCTAGCTCTTATATCTGGTGATCTGTTTTGATGAAATCAGGGTTTGCATGTTGCAGGAAATATTTTCGTTTCTCAACTTTGTATGCTTCTGTGGTTTTGCATGGCTCTTGAGCTTTTTCTGTGATGTGTTCTGTGGTTGAAAAGCGTATTTTGTTAAGTAGATAAGAGGGAAGTAGAAGAAGAGAAGCGTAAGTAGTGTTTTTGTGTTTGAGTAGGATTAATTTAATGGAACACAGTTTGGGTGAAGACTCTATTCCTGGTTCTGGGTCTTTCGATAAGTCTAGGGTTTTGAATGTAAAACCTTTGAGGTCTCTTGTTCCGGTCTTTCCGTCTGCGCCGAATGGTTCTTCGTTTTCGACCCCACAAGGCGGTGCTCCGTTTGTCTGCGCCACTCCATCTGGCCCTTTTCCAAATGGGGCATGCCCATTTTTTCCGTTTTTCACGTCGGATTCTCAGAGACCGCCAGAACAAAATACAAGTGCTGCAGCCAATCAGGGTGGGCCTTTTGGATTCAGCAATCCGATATCGAATGCAGTTCCGATAAATTCGTTTAGAACACCAACTCCCACAAGAGCTGGAAGAGCCCAGCAGCATACGGGGGTTGCAAATGGAGATACTGGGTCTGGGTCGTCTAGAAGGGTTACCAGAAGCCGTGCTCAAACAGAAGATGGGTATAGCGAAAACCAGAATCAGGTCTCAGAGTATTACGGTACGGATGGGACTGAAGTGGAAGAAAGAGGTAAGGTGGGGAGGCCAAAGCGCAAGGCACAAAAGCGGATTAGCGGTGGTGGTGGCAAGCACGCAAATGTTCCGAGTGATGCTGACATAGATATGGTAGTCGATAAAATACAAACATCATTTAATGATAAATTCGGGCAAACTGAAGGCGACAGGGCATCTGTTGAATATCTCACAATGATGTATGATTTGTTCCGTAGAAGGGTTTTACAAGCTGACGATCTAAAAGATGCAGTGCCAGGATTGTCAAGACGGCCTGATCTGAGGGCTGGTACACTGTTTCTGAATAAGGGAATTCGGGCAAATAGCAAGAAGAGGATTGGAACTGTCCCGGGTGTTGAAGTTGGGGATATTTTCTTCTTCCGAATGGAGTTGTGCTTGGTTGGATTACATGCTCCTTCTATGGCTGGAATTGATTACATGGGCATAAAAAACACTGGAGAGGAAGAGCCTCTTGCAGTGAGCATTGTGTCATCTGGTGGATATGAAGATTATGCTGAAGATCCAGATGTTCTCATTTACAGTGGCCAAGGTGGTGTTAACAGGAGAGATAAGGAACTTTCAGATCAGAAGCTTGAAAGGGGTAACCTTGCCTTGGAAAAAAGTACGCATAGGGCTAATGATGTAAGAGTTATTCGGGGTGTTAAGGATCTTTCAACTGTATCTGGGAAGATATATGTTTATGATGGTCTATATAGGATTAATGAATCGTGGACTGAGAAAGCAAAGAATGGTTGCAGTGTTTTTAAGTATAAATTGGTTAGAATGCCTGGTCAGCCCGAAGCATTTAGAATATGGAAATCGATTGAACAATGGAAAGGAGGAGCTACTTCAAGGGTCGGTGTTATCTTGCCGGATCTTACTTCAGGGGAAGAAAAATTGCCTGTTTCTTTGGTTAATGATGTAGATGATGAGAAAGGTCCTGCACACTTTACATATACCTCTATTCTCAAGTATTCCAATCCAATCAACTCAACAGTTCCTTCTTCTGGATGCGTTTGCATTGGTGGATGTCTTTCTGGTAATTCCAACTGCCCCTGTCTTGAAAAGAATAAAGGTTCTCTCCCATATACTGCAAATGGGCTTATTGTGAGCCAAAAGTCCTTACTGCATGAATGTGGTGCTTCCTGTCAATGCCCTCCTAATTGCAAAAATCGTGTGTCTCAAAGTGGCCTGAAATTTCATTTGGAGGTTTTCAAAACTAAGGACAGAGGTTGGGGTCTGAGATCCTGGGATCCCATCCGTGCCGGAGCATTTATTTGTGAATATGCTGGGGAAGTTATCAGTCCTTCTAAGATTGATAAGTTTGGGGTTGACACAGATGATGATTACACATTTGATGCTACTCGTAATTCTCAGCCACTGGGAGTTTTGCCTGGTGAGCCCGATGAAGCTCCAAAAATCCCATTTCCTCTTGTCATAAGTGCAAAGTATGCTGGGAATGTTGCACGATTCATGAACCACAGCTGTTCTCCAAATGTACTCTGGCAGCCAATTTCGCGTGAAAACAAAAATGAGTCTGATATCCATATCGCGTTCTACGCAGTCAGACACATCCCTCCTATGACAGAATTGACATATGATTATGGAATAATCTCCCAGGATGATGCAGACCAGAGGAAGAAGAAATGTCTCTGCGGGTCGTCAAGGTGCAGAGGCTTCTTTTATCAGTAGCTGTAAAAGTATGTTTTGATGATGATGGACCTTGCTAACTGGCCCTTTTGAAAAAGGTTAGAAGTTACAATGTTTTTTTTTTTTTTAATTTATTTGTTTTGTTGCTCGCCATAATACACTTCCTTTTATTTTGTTTCCTCTGCTGTATGATTTAAATGCTTCTAAAAGTAACTGGTCTAATCATTACGGTGTCTACTAAATTTTGAAAAGAACACTTCTGGTTTTTACCGGTTTACACTTCCATACCAAGCAATATTGTGTGTTAATCATCGTTGTTGATGTTGATTGCAGACTCCCGTTTAGAGAAAAGTGTGCGGGTGGAAAAGTATAATTGTTGGGATACTGTTCCTTTGTTTTTTGGATAAGAAACTGATAACTTTATTGATGTCATCAAAAAGTTACAAAGAGACGATGAATGAGCTATCCATCCAAAAGAAGAAAAGAAAAATAACAGAAACAAACCAGATCAATTAACACAAAACCAAAAACTTAACTACAACACGATACAAACTACACTAAAATATCCTAACAACTTAACAAAATCAAGGAAAGCGGGAAATCCTTCAAGGTTGAGTCTGTTGAAGCCCACAGGGAAGCCAAAAATTTTGCCTTCGCGAACAAATCTTCTATGCTTACTAGATTCCGTTTACGAGGAAGTTGAAAATGGTATGGAACACTACTCTAAGTAGAGCATGAGAGTGAGAAGCTTACCGAGCCCCATGTTTATGAAAATGGTTCCTAAGAGAGGGTGTGGGGTGGGTGGTGGGGCCTGGCCTGGGGAATAGGAGTAGGGGAGGAGTTCCAGTGTTATTATTAAACTACGTAAGTTAATAGTTGGGACTTTTGCAGCTAAGCTTCCTTAGTGTTGCAAGTCGGTGAAAATTTGATTACCCAAAAAAAATTTTAAAAAAAGAGGAAAAGACTTGGTGTCAAAGTTTTATTCTTTCCGGTACATACTTTGACTCTTTTTTTTTTTTTTTGGTCTTAATCTAGAACTCTACTTCCTTTTAATAGTCTGAGTTTGAACCTAGGACCCAAGTGGATGTTACCAGAATGACCTTTTCAGGTGATGCCAATGTGCAATGCATAGTGTAATGTTTTAATCACGTTTTCATGGAATACATATTAGCCGTTTGTGCCTTCTTGGAGCGTATTTTTCATTTCCACGTCCCAAAGTTGTGCATTATTTTTGCCCAACAACACAAGCTTCGACCTCATCGCTCAAATCAGAATAGTTCTGAACCAAAACTAATGCCTATCGAAAGATAAGCAGTGAAGAAACAATGACAAATCACCCTTTACATCACACACAAAGAAGGGCATAAGGTCCGAATCCGATAAGCTATAAAAGATGTGTTTAGAGTGAGGAAGTTCTTTTATTTTTCTTTAATTTATTTCTAAATCCTTTCTTTGAGTCGTAAAGTGTATCGTTTGTTGCTGTGATTCGTTTAGGTTGTTGTTCCTTGTTCTAGTTACCTTTGTGGCTTTCTTTCACTTTCATCAGCCTTTATGGATGTCTTCATTGTCTCTTTTGTTCTTTGCGCTCTTCAAGTTTCTCTAATGAAACTCCTGTTTTAATTTTTTCTTTTTTAAGAAAGAAAAAACCAAAGTAATCATAAGTTTTTGTTCAAAATTATGACTACCATTTACTTTTAGAGGCTATTTTTACTTTTTTTGCGTTTTACATTTCACATTTTCTCTTTATTCAATCATTATTGTTGATTGCCTCAAATGGGTAAAGCCCTTGTTAGGGTTAAAGATTTCTAGTCGAAGTAAAGGCCAAGCATTTGAAACAGAAAATCATTGGTAATGACTAATGATAGAAATCAGAAGTAATATACGTATATATGTTCATGAGTATTGATCACCAATCATGTCAAATAACACTTCCTGTACTTTTGTGTGTCGCCATAAAAATCTATGGTGATCCATAGAGAAGACATCATTACGCATACCAAATGTTCTTTTGCCTTCGTGCTTGCTGTTGATTTAAAGGTAATCATAATTATTGCTCTCGTCAAAAGGCATGTATTATAACCTATATCTTTTCATATGTTAATGCTGTCAAATTGTTTCCTGTAGCTTTGCAACTTTTAGATCAAATATTCCAACTGAATGTTGAATTTTTTTATTCTAAATTTTTAGTTCTAAATGCTATAATGTTGGCCTTTTCTGACAGCTGGGATGTGTATTTGACAGCAAGGAAGAAGAGCTCACCAGTTACGTGTTAGCTGAGTTTATCATCTTTAAAAGTATGTGATTTTGCAAGTCTTCAGGAATATCTAGTTTGCACCATTCTGACTAGTTTATGGATGCGCCGAACGTTCCCTGTTTCCCTTCATCAGTGCACTAACATTTTGTAGTTGTAACATGAATTTTACAGGGCCGGTTTAGTGTGTAATTCGGTTTAGCTTCTTTTGTATCAATGGTGAATTATATATTTTAGGAGACTACTGATGATATTTTACAATCTGTCTTAAAATTTCCCTTTTTATCAATTTTAAGCGTCAAAGCCTTTGACTGCTGCATTAGCAGCAGAAGAGCTCCAAAAAGGCTTAGGCTTGAGTAGGGATAGGTACTCCAAGAATTCATATGTTTTCTTGTCGCACAAGGCACCTATTGTGTTTTCTCAAGAGATGGATAGTCTCCGAGAATACAATACGAAAGGACCTTGACGGGCTTGATCGGATGATTAAATAGATTCGGTTAGTGTTTGTCATTTACTATAATTGGTGATGTTAAGCATCCATATAGTCAACCCTAATTAATTTAGGTTCAAGGCTTGTATTTGTTGTTGTTGTTGTTGTTGGAGATGTTAAGCATCCATTTGGTTTTACCGTTGAGGCTTGTATGAGATCAGTACTACACTACTACATGTCCAACATTTCACTTTGGTTGTTGGTAGCTTCAGCATGCCACCTTGCCTACAAAATACGTTCAACATTTCACTTTGGTTGATGGTAGCTTCTAAATCTGCAACAGTTTCGAGCAGAATTTAGGGGCATTGTGAGCACCCAGCTTCGCGTGCGACAAGGTGTGCAGTCCGCGGGGCATGCTCCACATGACCCCCACCTTTTGTTTTTTTTTTTGTTTTTTTTGTTTTTTTGCTTGATCCTCTTAGCATTTGCGCCAAAATTTCTTCACCATGATAAATATTCTTTGCAACATTTTGGCTCCACACTTAAAAGATCATCTCCAATGCAAATGTTAATGTCAAAATATAATGGGGTAAATTATTTTCATTTGTTCTTCAATACTGTTTGAAATGTTTGAGTAACTTTTTCTCAAAATCATAGAATTTTGAAGGTTGTAAAAGTAAACTTTTAATTTTTAAATAATTTAAAAATACAAAAGTTTCAATCATTAATTAAAAAAGTAAACATATCAACCAATAGTAATTAAATGTTAAATTTGTCTTGGAAATTTTTTTATAAGAATACAAAAGTTTCCACACTTCAAAGACCGTCTCCAATGTAAATGTTAATGTCACGGTGACTCCTCTTGACTCGCTTTCGGACTCTTTATTTTACTCTAAGTCTTTTGCTCGCTTTCGGTCCTACTGACCTATTCCAAGCACAATGCTCACCTTCAGTCCTCCTGGCTTACTCCAAGCGTCACGATCTGCCTTCGGTTAATCCTCAGACTTACTTCGGATTCATCACAAAGTCTGGAAACAACAAGGTTTCATAGTAACAAATGAAGCCTAGGGTATACGCTCTGGTTTTCTCACACAATTAAGCACAAATGAGAACACTCAAATTCTCTCTCAATGGACTCTCGAGTTCTCAACCTAAGTGCCCAAGAGAATTGCACGAGGTTCTCCCTAAATAATGAACCACCCGGATAAAGTCTAGAATCTCTCTGCTTGATATGGGTTGAGATTTGATTGCAATCTCCTCATTAAATTGACTTTCGGTCGTAAAAAATCTTCTGATTTAAGTCTTCCTCAAATTTCAACTATCATCGTGTAAACATATTCGAAATCCTTCGCAATGTGGGGACAGACAACTAGTTTATTGTTTGGACAGAGTACCTGAGCCTATAGCTGTCAAAACACTTAAGACAGACACTCGTAATCTGGAAATTAAATTACAATCAATTATAATTTCAATTAGATCCAAAAATTATCAAGAAAATGCAGATAGAAATGTCTAGAAAACTTAGTCAATGATTGAATTTATTCTCTCATGAATCTAGACTCAAATACGTGCAAGGATCAATTCCACATAATCCGATTTTCTAAGAAATTGCCAAAAATAATTGTGATAAATTTGTGATTAGCAAAGCAAAACTTTTCCACATAAAATCATCACAAATTCGATTTGATTTTTTATGCAAATCTTTAATCAAATCGAGCTAAATATGGCAACAAATAATCCAAATTGCAATCAGATAAAAATGGAATCATTATGAAAATTAGCAACAAATAATTAAATTGATTTTGATACAAGATTGCCAACAAATGCTACGTAGGATTTTTTATGCTACATAGGACTAAAATCCTAACAGCTCTAACTAGCACTTGCATCATCAAGGTGGTAGCTTAGCGGTATTGAGCTTATTCCCAAGTAGCTTGGTAGATAGGAGGTCTCATGTTTGAGTTTCATAGAAAATTTTGAGATTATTTTCAGATTATCGGTTTAACCTCATGTGAGATTGGGGAGATGTGCTTTGTCTTTCAACATAAATAGCTATGATTCAATGCAAACATTTCTTGACATGTGAGGTCCCTTTAGTTGTGCCTAAGGTAGTTAAGGCTGGTTGTCTCCCCAACTTTTTTACTAAAAAAAAAAAAAAAAAAAAAGGAGTGATCTAGCATTAACCATTAAATTGAGGGTATGATAGGAGGAATTTTACATATCTCACCTATACTATTCTGTGTTTATTATACAATTAAGAATGTAAATAATCATTGAAGGAATTGAGAAAGGAAAGCTCCATTCTACGGCGACCTTTATAGCTTTGTTTCACCTATAACCAGAATAGATCATACAAATATTATGTACCCCTATTAATGTTTTAAGATATTATTAGTTATTGTATAAGGACAATTTAGTAATTATGTCATTTTTATTCTTATTTCAATATATATTTAGTAAACACTGTTGATTTTCAGTTTTGTACCAGGGTCATTTAAAGGTCCAGGCCCAACCTTCGCATTTTGTTATGCAATTGGTCTCATTTTATGGACCCAAGACACGTTCAGACAACTCATATAGATCGTGGTTTGATGGGTCATATGTTATCAAATATATATGTTTATCATTTAATTTGGTATTAATTTAAATCCCATTTGGAGAGTTTTCAAATTAATAAGATAAAATATGAATGAGTGATGATAGAGAATTTCTAAAAAGTCTTCCTCCCGTCCTTTTAGAAGCCCAAAAATACAAAATCCATGCCTTAGAATTCTCCCCACCAGCCAAGGTTTGAAACTCACTGTTTTGACTCCAATGAAGACTTCATCTGCACCAGATATGCCTAACGGATTCTCCACACCAGCCAAGGTTTGAAACTCACTGTTTTGACTCCAATGAAGGCTTCATCTGCACCAGATATGCCTAACGGAGGCTCCCTCTGCGTCAGCGTATCTCCAGGATTTCTCTCATTCGCGTCAAACATCCTTAACGAAGACTCCCTCTATGGAAGGCATGTCTCTCTAAGATCTTTGTGGCTCGATATGCCTAAAGGAGGCTCCCTCCATACCAAACATCCTTCCTTCATATTCTCTTCATGAGGAACTTGTCTATCAGAGCAAGCTCTTACGGAGCAACCTGGTGTCATAGCCAATATGACGGATGCTTAGCCATTCTCATACAAACTATCTCTGACAAGGTTGGACACATATCATACCTCCAAACGAGGAAGTCAACAAAGCACAAAATTAAGTCGAACACCCTTTAGAGTTTTAGACCTGAGAAGCTCTAAGTCAGCCCAAAATCTAGAATTTTGCCTCCAAGTCATTTCATTTTCGGACCATCTCTTTGTCAACCCAGAAAGAAATCTGGTGGCTTTACTCCAACAGGATTGCGTGTGCATGCCTTCATTAGACCGCCGTTGAGCTGCCCTCAGAGTAACCATCATGAACCTTCTATTCTTTTTATGGCAAATCTCTTCATCAATTTTAGAATTGGAAAGGTGACAAATGGTTTTATTCCCACTGGATTGCTTGTGCAAGCTTCCATCAGAGCACGCCGTATGGACCTCTAAAGCAACCGCCAAAATGCCATCATTATGAACCTTCTATTCTATTTATGGCATATCTCTTCATCAACTTTGGAATTGGAAAGGTGATAGATGGTTTTACTCCCACAAAATTATGTGTGCAAGCTTCCATTAGAGCACGCTGTATAGACCTCTAGAGCAACCACCAAAATGCCCCCATTTTCAGTTATAAATATCCCTCATCTTCCTCATTTCAGCCAACTTTTGAGAGGTGATTAGCTAACTCTTTTCTTACAACTTTCTCTCCACCTTGGGAGATTTTTTTTAAAGTCTACGCTAAAAACTTGAAGTTCTTCAAGTTCTTAAGACTTGAAGTTCTTCAAGTTCTTAAGGGGATATCCAGTTTCTAAGTGTTTACAACCTTAGAAACTCCTTAAGAACACTTGTAGATCTTCATCCATCGATTGTCCAAGAGTGTTTGAAGTTTCTTCACACTTCTTCTGGAAATACTCACATCTTCATCTTTAGAGTAACCTTCACTTACCATCGGAACAAGTGCTCCAATCACATTCTCGCTCTTGAAGTAACTTATGCTTTCCTTCAGAGCTTAACTCCATCACTCCTTATCAAGCCTCATGAGTCACATTCTCGCCCTCCATTAAGCCTTATCCAACTACAACGAGTCACACTTTCGCTCTCAAAGCATCCCATGTGTGTCTTGAGAGCACCACTCCGTCAAGGTCCTGACCAGCCTCCAAACATCCTCTCCATCAACTATTTGATCACTCCTCTTACCATTCTTCATCTACGTAGTTCTTTATATATATTTTTTGAGTTCTCCAACATTTTTGCAAGGGCATTTGGCAATGAAATGGATCCTAGGATACGTTTCCTCTAATTTTCTTCAGGCCTAATTGTCCCCACCTCTCTATTAGAAGTCCTATACCATCTTCATCCTCTTCGAGTACCGCTAAGTACTTCAGCCACGTCGGATTCGATTTCGACAAGTCGTATACTTACATGTGTAAACTCCTGACACGTTATACCTCTTAGATCTATTGGATCCTAACAAAAACTAAAATAAATAATTACTAATAGGTCAATAATATTGAAAGGACACTCTATCTCTTTTTCAGGAAAAATAATTTGTTTTTTTTAGCAAAAGAGAAGCATTTTCTAAAATTCAAAAAAAAAAAGTGTTTGGGTGATCTTGTTTCTGTGTCATGCTTTTTAATTGAGAAAAAAAAAACTAGAATTAATTCTTACTATAGATCTTGTGTCGTTTTCTCTTTAATTACTTAACTTTCTTTTCCATTATTTCCCCACTCTCTTTTTTTTTTCTTTTTTTTATCTCTTCATTCATTTCTACTAGAGATACAACAATGGGCCGGGGCCTGTGGGCCAGCCCAGGCCCATCCTGACACAGTGACGGGCCGGGCCGGCACGACCCGTCACTGTTCAAGGCACGACCCAGACCATAAATATTGGTGGGCTAGGCTAGGCCAACATATATCGGTCCATGGGCCGGCCCGACACGGCCCATGAAAAAATATGGGCCTGGCCGGGCTTGGGCCGAGCTGGGCCGGCCCGTCTAGGCCCATGATGGGCCGGCCCAGCCCGGTTCCTCTAGGCCCATAATGGCCCGGCTAAGCCCATCTAGGCCCATAATATTTCTCTTTTTTTTTCTTTTTTTTTTGGTAATTTTGTAAACATCTTATATATAATTATTTTTATTGTACTCTTTTTTCCTTACTAAGGTTTTATCCCACTGAGTTTTCCTTAAAAAGATTTTTATTTAATGAGTTAATCGTAAATAAAATATCATTTTCCATATTTCCATTGACTATTCAAACTTATATATTTGTTAACTTGTTTAAAATTTCAAAAATAAAAAATAAAAATAAAAAAATTGAAAATTACATGCTTAGATGGAATGGTCCATCTAAACCCATAATGGGCCAAGATGGGCCTTGAGTGGGCCGGCCCATTTAAGGCCTACGGCACGGTCCATCCTGGCCTGCGGCACGACCCATCTTGGCCCGCAACCTGGCTCATGTAAAATTAGCCCGTGGTGTGGGCTGGGCCGAGATCATTCTTATACGGGCCGGTTCGGCCCGGCCCACAAAATTTGTGAACTGGACCGGCCCGGCCCACATGGGCTTAAGAAGAACGGGCTGGGCCGGCCGTTCTTGCATCTCTAATTTCTAATCTCATTTTCTTTTCATTTTCTATTTCCTCGTTCTCTCTCATTTTCTCTCTCCTTATTCTCTCTCATCATTCTCATTCTTCACTTTAGATCAGGAGTCAGCCAGGGTTGGGGTTAGAGTGAAAGTTTGGATGGGGGCTAGGACACGAGGTTGGGGATGAGAGATTGGGTCGAGACCAAGATCAGCTTCATCCCACCCTTAATTCTTGTCTTGACCCTGAGCCCTACCTTCGATTCCTTTTTCGACCTTGATCCTGGGCAACCACCCTCTAATCCTACAGCAATATGTAAGTCTCAATAGTAAGGGCATACCTCGATCTCGATCGTATCTTAAATCTCGGTCCTGACTTCGGCTTCAACCCCTAAACTTCACAAGACTTAGTCCAAAATTTTGTCATATTTCTAAAGATCTTTTTTTTTCTTCTATAAAAGAGACACATAACAAAATTGTATTTACCAAATAGGATTCTTTTTTTTGTTTGTAAAAAAATTCTTGAAGATAAAAAGAAGAGAACACGTTTTTTGCTTTTTGTTTTAAAAATTAAAGAAAATATATGTATACTAAAGCAAACAGTATCATTTTTTTTTAAGAAGAATTTGTTTTATTTATTTTATTTATGAAAAACTATAGCAAGTTGGTCATTGCTCCTCTTCACCAATATATGAACTTCGAAATTTATAATTAAGACAAAAACATGAGATATGCAGTTTTGGCCAATACAAAAGATTAAAACAAAATGTGTAACCTAAGTTTGTCAAAAATAAAAAGAATTATAAATAAAACAAAAGAATTTTTTTTGTGTGTGTGTGGAATATTTACTGTTACAAATTTTCAATTGTAAAATCCTATCATGACAATGACAGAATTAAAAATATCTTTCCGAATGTAAGAATATATCCAAATTAAAATTATTTTTATATTGTCCTGTGCATGTGATTGGTAAAAGACACTTTTTAAAATTTTTATTCATGTATAAATCACCTAACAAGTGTATGTTACTAATTACTAAAACTGTTAAAAAAATATTTTCAAAAAAAAAAAGCTGTTAAAAAATGAATGTCTCAGTGACGAAAGCTCGGAGGGAGTTTTTCCATTTGAGATGTGAGGAGACAATCCAATAATTCTTGGGTCTAATTTGAAAATTAACAAACAAAAAAAAGGAACAAAGCAAAAGAAAAGTAAAAAATAAAAAAAAATAAAAAAAATAAAGAAAAAACCATTGTAGTTGGTTTTGCGCGCGAAAAACCCGCTTTGATTCAGAAGGTGACCACGACAGCAAAGGTTGTTAGAGAAAGAAAAAGGAGAGAGAGAGAGAGAGAGAGAGAGAGAGAGAGAGAGAGAGAGGGAGAGAGACAGAAAGACATTGTAAATTTGTAAGATTGATCTGGGTGACAAGCTTTTACGAGCCAGGGCTCGTAAGGTGGTTGGATTTTCTTATCCAAAACAGAGAGGACAGGACAGACAAAAGAAAGGGGGAAAAAAAAAAAAGAAAAAGCCAGAGATGTTGTGATCAAAGGAAAGGAAAAAATGGTCAAACAAAAGCAAGAAAAAAAAACCCATTAATCAGAAGATGTAAAAAGAATCGAAAATGGAGTTTTTCTGATTTGGATATTCGTGAAAATTTGAGACTGTTTGAAGAAAGAAGAATGAGTAGTGCAAATAAGAGCCAAGGTTGGAGCTCCTCCTCCAATTCGACTATGACCCCTCCCAAGACCAAACCCAGACGCCTCTACCAAGTTTGGAAGGGTAACAATGTATGCTTCTCCCTATTTTCTTTTATATTTATTTGATTTTTTTTTTTATTTTTTAAAGGAAGGAAATGGAAAATGATAATAGATACATGGGTGATGAATTGGTTGTGATTCTACTTTTTTATCATATATCAATTTGATATGTATATATATATATATATATATATATATTCATATTTTGGCTTTCTTGTTATTGGAGCTCTTTTAGGTAGTCAATGGCATATATTCATCATGTTGATGAAACGATGAGTTTGCATTCTTCAAATTTTGTTTTGATCTTCTCCATTAGTGAGTCATAAATTAATACAACTCTCTCTGTTTTTTTTTTTAATAGTTGTTGAAAATTGGGCCAGTGATTTTTTATTTCTTTTTTATACGGTGTGGGGTTGATGGTTAAATCAATTAGAAATTTATAATATATGGTCTATTTTTTTTTAATTTATATATGATTCTGAAATCATGGTAATGACATAATATTTGCATGAAGTTGTTTCTAATAAGATTGTGATTTATTTAATTGTTTTTTTTTCAGAAAAAAAAATAAAAATGGAAGAGCCTTGTCCATAAATTTTAAGTTCCCATCATTTCTTCTGCTTCTATGGGTTTTGAATTCAGCATATGAAGTAACCATAAAAACTAATGGCTTTTTGGTTTATGATACTATTGAAGTACTTTATCTTCTCTCTCATTCATTATCTCTCTCTCCCCTCTCATGATTGCTCACACACATCAGCTTCATCTTGTCATATCATTAAGTGAGCTTCATTATTTGTGAGAAACAGTTTCATGTATCAATGTCTTTTATACCTTAAAGATCAAATCTTTTATCTAGGATACTTCAGTTGATTATTTGACATGTTTCCTCCAGTGAAAACATATGAAAAACTAATAAACCAACTTATTACAATGACGCCATTCATTTTGGGGTTAAACTCATTTTTGTTTTTAGTTCCCAAGCTATAACTCAAATCCCATTTTGATCCCAAATTTTTAAAACGTCATAAAATTAGTCTCTGACATACCAAATTGTCCTAAATTAGTTCTTGGAAAATGCTACTCTTCACGAATATTTTCAACTCGATTTTCACGAATTAAGTTGGTGAAGTGGAGGAACACGTGCAAGTCCAAGAGCACGTGAGCCTTCCACGAATTGAGGAGCTCTTAGTTCTTTCGTCTATTCGGCTGTTAAAGTCTCAACAAAAAGGCATTACTTTCTTCATAACAGTCGCGGCCTAACATGTGAAATTACAAAATTAGTTCTCACTAACATGTAAAATTGCATATAGTTGCCACGTGCCTGTTCTGTTGAGATTTTAACTATCAGATGACGGAAGGACTAATTTGGGAAACTGTCATAGATCAGAGACTCGTTCTAGAACGTTCTAAAATTCAACTACCACAATGGGATTTGACATATAGTTCGGAGACAAGAAACGAGATTAACCCTTTATTATTATGTATCAAGAAACGTATGACTAGCTACTAGTTTCAAGTCTGGTTTTGCGTATGTTATTCTTTTCATGCAAGAGAACACTGGAATAAGACTTGTTGTAGTTTCTTAGTTACAGATTAGGCATCATAATTACTGACAGTTTTTTTTTTTTTTCTTTTTCGTGCCAGAAATTCTTGTGTGGCGGAAGAGTAGTCTTCGGTCATGATGCCGGGTCACTAATTCTAACTTCATTCCTAATTGGAGGTCCTGCCATAACATTCTGCACACGAATGCTTGTGATGACCAAAGGGCAAAATCCGTTCTTTGTCTACCCTGTATTGATTGGGGGAATAGTCCTCACTGTTTTGGTTGGTAAATTGGAACTCTTCTACTTCTTATTTTTTTTTCTATAAGAGTATGGAAGTTTTACGAAAGGAAAATTATTACAAAAAGATCTAAGGACAAACAATTCTCTTTGATCAAAGAGAGGATACAATGCAAGTAGTAAAACAGAACTCTCTCCACTTCAACAAATTTATAGATAAAATGAAGTTCGCTAAAACTAATTTCAATAAGAAAGTAGCGAGAATTTGACACAAAGAAGCGTCTTGTTTAAAAACTGTCTTGAAAAGTCCTATTCCTGTCAAGCCAAAGGCCCAAAAAATAGTCCAAAACTGAGTTCATAACATTGTCTAGTGTGCAAGCAAAAACTTGAGTCGACACATGAGGCTTCCGCATAGGACTGGATGGTTCAGAAAAACGGCTAGATGAATCACCAATCAAACACAATGAAATAATGACTCGGAGTAGAATTTCCAGAAGAATTCCAAAAACGGAAAAGTAGTAAACTTAAAGACTTAGTGGTGTATGCTATATAGGAAGAATGGTTCAACCATTGAAGAAAGAAAATACAAAATCTTACCAGTTGATGGTTTGTGCAGGATTTTTTGTTTCTGTTCTTGACATCTGGTAGAGATCCGGGAATAATTCCGAGAAACTCGCAGCCACCTGAATCAGATGAGGCATCCGACACGCCCACCCCTTCAATGGAGTGGGTTAATGCTAAAGCCTCTGGTCTGAAGATACCCCGAGTAAAGGACGTAACTGTCAACGGTCACACAGTAAAAGTAAAGTTCTGTGACACTTGTTTGCTATATCGTCCACCCCGTGCTTCTCATTGTTCAATCTGCAACAACTGTGTCCAGAAGTTTGATCACCATTGTCCGTGGGTTGGTCAGTGTATTGGATTAGTAAGTTACCACCCTATACTTGTTCTGACTTGGAGAAAAATTAAATCTTTGTTTGTTCAACTACGTTATGAGCAGTTAAGATAAAGCATACATAGAGTGTCTTAGTGAAGGAGTGGTCTTTGATAGATTTTCCCAAGAAGCTAACTTTGCTCTCCATCATGTTGTGACTGCAGCGCAATTATCCATACTTCATTATGTTTATATCATCATCAACCTTATTGTGTATATATGTATTTGTGTTTTCCTGGATCAACATTCTTCGAGAGGGCGGCAAGATATGGAGTGCCATGTCTAACGATATCCTATCAGTTATCCTCATAGTCTATTGCTTCATCGCTGTCTGGTTTGTTGGTGGGCTTACAGTTTTCCATTTCTATTTGATTTGCACCAATCAGGTAAACCTTTTCTTCTTGTTGTTTCACAGATGCAACATGTAGTTATTAAAATGTCTTTGTCAGTTTACTTTCACTTTGATGAACTAAAACTAGACTGATTTGTAAGGTGTGCTAATTTTGTTGAGGAGGAAAGTTTCATCCTGGCGTGATAAATACCCAAATTCCCGGTCTATGATTGATATTCTCAAAAATTAATGATTGTTTTCAAAAGGAAATAAAGAGCCCTTGTACTTTTCTCCTTTATCTCAAATTTGTGATGAGCTGACATTTTTTTGGCGTGTTTGTAAGGATGCCCCTTGAAGTTGAATTCTTGCATTTGTCAAATTCAGTCCCTGAACCAAAAATCTTTGCAATTGAGCCTTCAAACTTCAAAATCTTTTGCATGGTAGGTCCAATAAAAAATGAGGTTAAATTTTTTATGGTTTTCTTGAATGTAATTCACGTGTCCCACTATTTAGAGTGGCCTAGGTCTGTTTAACCTTATATGAACAAGACTTGTTCACTTGTAGTGCTGGTTATCCTTGGATTCAGCATGGAAGGGAGAGAATTTTGTTCATTTGCGATCCAATTCAAGCAAAAAAGACATAGGTCATCCTCTATAAAAGATCATGCGTGAAGTCATGTTAGAAAACCGTAAAAAATTTAGTATCATGCTGATTGTCAAGATTTTTAGTTTAGGCACTGATTTGCCAAACGCGAGAAGTTTATGGGGCATCCATGAAAATAAGCCTTTTTTCTTTTTTTTTTTTTTTTGTTTTGGCTAACATTTGTCACACTTGATTAACTAGATTGTTCTGAGAACTGTTCTTATCAGACAGTGGCAAATTCTTTTCTTTTGCCAGCTCTAGGGGATTATATCACCTTCTTTTTGGCTTTATTGGATATAGAAACCTTTTCATCAATGAGTATATGTTTATCTTCTTGAAGGCAATTTTTTATGTCTAGCTAGAGAAGTGATCGATCTTTTTAAGAAGTTTGGGATCTGTCACTTGAGTCAATCAATTCAATATCCATTTAATAAGCAAGTTAGAAGTCATATTTGTGATGCATATTTTTCACCCTTTTCTGGACGGAAGATTTTCTTTCTTAGTGAAGTTAAAATATACAAGTGACATTGTACTGCCAAATACTTTCCCTCCATGAGATCCGTCTAGTTTTTTCCATTCATTGCCAGTCATAGCCTCTTTTCATACACTGGTTCGCTACACTTGAAACTCTAACACAAAAGAGAAGCATATGGTGGACAAAAAGGATTCTGCCAAAGTATTGATCTAGGTTCACTATATAGTTCTTGTTCATGAATTGTCTGTATGATAACCTATGCCATAAATGAATGTCAGGCAGAAATTCTGGTTTCTTCCTGTAAATCAATGCATGTATAATTGATATTTGATTAGGTGGCTTACAGTACTTGTAGATTAAATGAGCAGCTTGATTCAAATTCATTAATCTGATCGATGTTCTTTTGCAGACAACTTACGAGAATTTCAGGTATCAGTATGATAAGAAGAAAAACCCGTATAGCAAGGGGATATTAGGGAACTATAATGAAGTCTTCTGCTCTAAGATCCCACCATCAATGATTGATTTCCGAGCATGGACATCGGAAGATGATGATATAGTTGTAGGATCCACCCCACCAGAGAGCGACCGAGGCTTCATGGGCTCAAAAGAGAAATTCGACATAGAAGTGGGACAGAGATTTAGCAAGGATGCCGGTAAAGGACTTCCAATCATTTTGCAGAATTTGGATTACAGCGCTTTTGATGACACTACGAAGAGGAAGAATTTGGATCACAGTAGTTTTGATGATCATTTTAAGAGGAACATTGGAGATAGTGAACGATATTCACATCGGAGTTCTGGCATTGGAAGTAGTACTAGTTATGATAAGAGGACTGTGACTCCGATTAGCTGACACACTCCTGGTTTTTCAGAGAAAAAGGGAAAAAGGTAGTCTTTTTCTTTTATCCTTTGTTCTTCACTTAGATTCCAGCGTTCTGAATGCGTATTCCTTGATTAGTTAATAGAATCTTTTCTCTTGTTTCTTCTATAAAAAAAAAATAGAAATTGTTAGAACCGGTTATATGATTTTACCGTGTTTTCTTATAATATCGATTAAGGATTGCCAAAGCAAAACACAAGAATAGAATAACTAACACACAACGATTAAACGCGGTTCAGTCAAACCGACCTACATCCACGGGGCCACGCCCAGGCCTCAAGCAATCCACTAATACGTAAAAAGTTACAGACACCAATCGGACTTAACCAACTCAAGACTCCCTCTTGACTATCGACGCCGCTGTGTCTAACACCCTAAGTGGCTAGCTTGGCGAGCACCACTCGTCTTCGAACGCCTTCTCCCGAAAGCTTACAAGCTCATCTCTCAAAGGTCAAAACCGATGAACGCTCTCGCTCTTCAACTTGTGCACACCGTGCTTTATCAGAGTTGCAGTACTTCATCTGATACCTCGTGCAGCAACCTTTTATAAACTGATCTCGTTCAAAATCTGAATCTGTCTCAGAATCTGTAGTTACAAATAAGACAGTTATCAGATCAAAATTCAAACCACGTAATCTGCTTCGCATATTCCAGTTGCAATTTCTCTTAACCCAGATTCTCAGCACTCCAATCTCTTTAAATGATATCTTGACAAAATCTGTAACAGATATTTGTTTTACTTTCAAATCCTGGTTTAAATCAAAATACCATCACATTCTTGATCTCTTCCACGAAATCCTCAGAGCCTTATCTTAATGAAACTGATTTCTTCTTTTAGAACGAACCCAACGAATTCGAAAGCCTGACTTCAGATTATGTCAAAACGCACAGTATTACCCAAACGACTCAATACAAGCTGTACGACATTTCTTGACACTTTCAAAATAACCAATTCAAACATGAAGCCCAACTAAGCCAATCAAAGCTGTACGACATTGCTTGAAGGTTTCTTGGAAACATCTCTAGCATTCGCTTCCTCAAGATCAGAGCACACCAAGTTGTGGCCGAAACATGGGTCATGGACCACAATTGCTAAATCATTCGGAGCTGGAGCAGGGGAAGTGCTTTGTACCTTTGATGACTGTTCGTGATCTTCAAGTGGAGACTCCTCAGCTTGGAGAGCTTGGTCACCCGAAGGAGGCGAGGACGAAAGAGGAATGGCTGTGTCCACAGTCGAAGGAGGAGAAAGCAGTGGTTGGGACTTCAGGATTTTCCGGCGAGTGGCGCGAGCGGCGCGAGGCGAAGCAATGATCATCGGGGACGTCGCCAGAGTTGCTGAGACAGTTTGTCTTTGAGATGAACGGTTCCAACCTTGTCCACGAGCTCTCACCATGTTGAATCTTGAAATTTCTTGTGCTTGGTGATTTCGGAATCAACAAACCCTAAATGGTTGGATAGGACGGAAACCGAAACCGAGGAGAGAAGGAATGAAACAGAGAGGTTTTTTTTTTTTTTTTTTTTTCAAACGATAATGCAGCACAATAATGTAAGCAACAATTTGATAACTCAAAGTTTCCCTCGAAAAATAAGGAGCAAAATGACATGTCGTAAGCAGTTGGTGGAAAAAAAAAACAATATGACATCAACATAGGGTGAAGAAAAAATTGTTAACAGCAAGACTCAGCCACCCAGAATAACGAAACAGATAAAAAACTCAACGGATGGATATGAATTTCACAAGCTGCTCAAGAACAGTTAATTTGTATACGTTGAGAATGGCCTCAATTCACAGGAAAAAAAATGTTTTTTTTTTTTTTTTTTTTTTTTTATAAATTGAGAGGTTAGAGTCCAGGAATGGATAGATATTCTCAATCCCAAGTCACGAGGTATATCACTTTTCTATCATAAAAAAAACTTTGACATCAATAACCAAGATTCAATACTAAGGTAGTGTGCTCAGGTGATTGTTCATGCCAGGAAACAAAACTAATCCAACTCCCCACTTTCCAGAATCGAAATGTGAAACTTACTAATGAACCACTAGATGAGTCAGTGAAATGCAATCCTAATTGAAATGAAAAGTAATAAAAAAAACTAAACCACACAGATTCCTAGGGCCTTTCTCAAGTAAACAAATCGCACTGAGTCAAGAGCTTTAGTAAAAATATTAGCCAGCTGGTTTTCTGTAGCTACATATTCTAGTATAACCTGTTTACTGTCAACTAAATCACGAATAAAATGATACCGTATGTCGATGTGTTTTGTTCTTGAGTGTTGTACGGGATTCTTTGAAATATTAATTGCACTTGTGTTGTCACAGTAAACCGTTAGAACCTCTTGTTCAACCCCATAATCCTCTAGCATCTGTTTCATCCACAGAAGTTGTGTGCAAAAACTTCCAGCAGCAATATATTCTGCTTCGGCTGTAGAGAGAGAGATGGAGTTTTGCTTCTTGCTGTACCATGACACAAGATTGCTTCCCATGTAAAAACATCCTCTTATGGTGCTCTTTCGATCATCTGCATTTCCTGCCCAATCCGCATCACTGTACCCTACTAGATCTGAATTTGAATCCCTTGAGTACCAAATTTCATAATCAGCTGTGCCACTAATGTGCCGTATAATTCTCTTTATTGCTGCCAAGTGAGTTTCTTTTGGATTTTCTTGGTACCGAGCACAAACACCGACACTAAAACATATGTCGGGTCGACTTGCTGTCAAGTAAAGAAGGCTTCCTATCATGCTTCTGTACAGGGTTAGATCCACTGAGACACCATCCTCATCCTTTGTCAATTTCACGTTAGTTCCCATGGGTGTTCTCATGTGCTTTGAGCTTTCCAGGCCGAATCTCTTCACTAGATCCTTTGCATACTTTGCTTGTGCGATAAAGATTCCTTCCTTGAGTTGTTTAACCTGAAAGCCTAAAAAGTAAGAGATTCCCCCAACCATACTCATTTCAAACTCCTTGGTCATTTGGCTGACAAACTCGTCAACCTTTCCCTGTGAGGTGGAACCAAAAACAATGTCATCAACATATATTTGAGCAATTATCATCCCTGTTTTAAAATGCTTGATAAACAAGGTTTTATCAACTCCCCCTCTTTTATATCCTTTTTCAACAAGAAAACTGGTTAGCCTTTCATACCATGCTCTAGGAGCTTGTTTGAGGCCATATAGAGCTTTTTTAAGTTTATACACATGGTTAGGAAAGTGTGGATCCTCAAAGCCCTTTGGTTGCTCAACATATGCTTCTTCATTTAGAAAACCATTCAAAAAAGCACTTTTCACATCCATTTGATGAAGTTTGAACCCTAACACACAAGCAATAGCTAGAAGTAATCTAATTGACTCTAGTCTTGCTACTGGTGCAAAGGTCTCATCAAAATCTATTCCCTCAACTTGAGTATAGCCTTGAGCAACCAATTTGGCTTTATTTCTTACGATGGTACCAAATTCATCAGTCATGTTTTTGAAAATCCATTTTGTACCAATGACATTTGTACCTTCGGGTCTAGGAACTAGGATCCAAACATCATTCCTAACAAATTGTTCAAGCTCCTCTTGCATAGCACTTACCCATGATTCATCTTGCAAAGCCTCTTTGACATTTTTGGGCTCAGCTTGAGAAGTGAATCAGACAAACCTGACCATGTTGTCATAGTGTTGCCTAGGCAACTTTCTGGTACGGATACCTTCATTTGGATCACCAATGATTGCCTCTGGAGGGTGATTTTTCAAGATCCTTGTACCTGGTGTCCTGTGTACAGGGTCATCAATGTCAATTTTAGCACGTTCTGCTTCATCAGTTTGCTACAGAACTGTTTCTGGTGTATCTGTAGCAGGTCCTGTAGCTACAGATCCTTCTGCATCAGAATCATCAGATTCTATCTTCTTTGGTTCAGTTTCTTCAGTAAAACTCTCAATGGATTTTTCTTTAGAGAATTCTGAATAGTCTTTCATGTCATCGACAACCACATTGGAGGATTCCATGATGGTTTGAGTCCTCATGTTGTAAACTCGATAGGCACGGCTATTTGTAGCATATCCAAGAAAGACCCCTTCATCGCTTTTGGCTTCGAACTTGCCGAGATGATCCCTGTCATTGAGAATGTAACACAGACATCCAAACACGCGAAAATATTTAAGATTTGGGACCTTACCTTTCCATATTTCATATGGAGTTTTGTTTGTGCCTTGTCTTAAATACACCCTGTTTATGGTGTAAGAAGCTGTACTGACAACTTCAGCCCACAATCTTAGAGTGAGTTTCTTTGCATTTAACATCACCCTTGCCATTTCTTGAATGGTCCGATTCTTTCTTTCAACTACCCCATTCTGTTGAGGTGTTTTTGGTGCTGAAAATTCATGTGCTATACCATTCTCATCACAATAATTTGCAAAGACAGCATTTTCGAATTCCTTACCGTGATCACTTTTGATTCGTACTATCTTACCAATGTTACAATCTTTTTCAGTCTTCAACCGAATGCACAGTGTCTTGAAAGCTCCAAAAGTGTCTGATTTCTCTCTTAGAAAATCCACCCATGTGTACCTAGAAAAATCATCCACACAGACATAAACATATCTCTTACCTGCAATGCTTTCAACCTGCATAGGACCCAAGAGGTCCATATGTAACAACTCGAGTGCCTTGGATGTTGCAATTTGTTGTAGCGCCTTGTGTGTGGTCTTGGTTTGCTTGCCAAGTTGACATGGACCACACACTCCTGGCATTTTCTTACCTAGTTTAGGTATTCCACGAACAGCTCCTGCACTAACAATCTTGGTCAGTGTCTTAAAGTTCAAGTGTCCCAGCCTTTGGTGCCATAACTCAGTTGCATCCAAGGTGGTGTTGTGACACGTGTGTGTAGGAGTGTGTGATGGTAGACTCGTGAGCATATAGCAGTTATCAGAAGATCTAGATCCTGCCAAAATACATGAAT